TATATAATTTTATATAGCTTTAGGACTATTTATCCAAGTGATGTTTTCTTTAATAAATAGTATCGTAGTAAATATTTTACCCAATTCGTTGTTGCTTGTCGAATTTGATATAATTTGTTTGTCACTTCATATTCTGACAAAATCATTCAAAATTTGATAAAGGAAATGACGTTCATGTGTGTAGTCAATGGAATTTCTAATAAAAATAAAATGTTTGTTAATTCTTAAACCAAGCTTAATACAATTATATTTGCAAGCATTAAATTGTTATATAAACGACACCCATTTCTCAATCTATATTTTATTTGAAGTTCGGGTGAGTGTTCTTTTGTTTTGTTATCATGTTTCGGTTGAGAAATCGCCATCAATAATAGGCGAATAACTCATGATTCGTTATCAAAGTAATTTAATCGGCAAAAACAAAATACTTTACCACATTAACAGACAAAATTTAAAACGCCTACCTTGATTACAAACATAGAAATAGCAACGAAAGTAGAAACAACTACAAGCATGCGTATTAAAATGGTACACGCGAGCGCCTAAATGGGGAATTTTACAGTACATGTATCACAACTGTATATAGTTTTTAAGTTATTCCTATGTCTGCTTAGGATGGATATTTATCAATTTCTCGGTGTTTTGTTCATTGTATTCATGATGTTGATCAATATGTGACACTGTAATACAACATCATTTTATTTTATTCAATATTTATCATACATGAAATATTCTATTTAGGTATTGATTTATTAGATATAATTTTTTCACCTCATTCTTAATCACTATTATTTTTAAACAAAATGTACAACAATATTCCTTGATTTCAAATTTAAAATCCACTCTATCTAATGCCAGATATATTTTAATAACATTTTCTTAAATAAGATTATCAGATGAAATTTTAGTAACGTTTAAATTCTTTTGAAATTGCTTGTGTTTATAGTAAGTAATTAGTTTATTATACTTGTGTTTACTTGTGAACATATATCAATAAATATAACATAATTACAAAGTTTGTATAGTCAATGTTGGACCCTGCCCATTGGACCTATCTATAAATATAAATACTACCATTTGATTTTCATTGTAACAGTTGCAATTAACGTTATATGGCAACACGGGATTGGACTAGAACTTTTTTTTACTTTTCTGCACATAAATTAGGGAAAAAACCTTACAAAGAACGTTCTCGTGGTTCGTAAACCAAAGTTTGTTAAACATTCCATCAGTCTCCAATTAGTTCGGGATAAAAACTTAAACAAAGGTAAAAAGGTAAATAGTACCCCAACAAAAATGTTAAAAAAAATTAGGTAGATACCAGATTTTCAAGAGTTTTTTAAAGTCTTCTGGGGAAACAAATGCCTGATCTATCTCCCATAAAATGTTTTCAATCTCTATTTAGTCCTTCTGGTTCATTTCCTAGGGTCACGGTGATCATGTTAGTTTTGTTTATCAATTTTGTATGCCAGACACGCGTTCGTCTACAAAAGACTAACTAGTGACGATCGAAACAAAAAAGTAAAAATGCCAGATAAAGTAGGAAGTTGAACAGCACTGAGAGCCAACGATTCCGAAAGGTTTCGCCAAACCATCAACTAATTTTCGATTTCTTCAGAATGGCAAACTATTTTTTTTTGTAAAGATTGAAAGATGCAAGCTGCTTTCAGAAGTACAATGTACATGCATACTTTGTTTTCTTTTACATATACCTGCACACTTGCCAAATGCTTCAAATTTATATATAAACGCGATGATAAATGATTTATAGAGGCGAAACATACCAAAAGGAATTGATATTTATAACTTTTTAGTTGAATTTACCGAAAATGGAGTTGTTTTTTACATACAGTGTGTTCTTTAAAACTGCCTTTCGCGGATATTTACAAACTTTGTTTGTGTATTTCTCAGGAAAATGTTTCGAATTGGAAATTTTACGCAATGGGGAAACATGCAATTCTCAGTTTTTTCAAGGTTTTGACCAAAAGTCAAGAAAACAGGTGAGAGAAAAAAAAACGTATGCCCTTGAAAATGCAACCTTGAAGGTGTTTCCCTGTATACAGACATTCATTGTTCTTCAATCCGTCGATACTTATATTTTGGCATTGCACTATGTCATGTTCTTCTCTGACTGTTATTGACATCTTTTCACCTAATCTATTGGATTTTGGATGTTTAAAGTTTATATGTTTGTCTTAGACAAATGATATTTCATTAATTGTTATTGGCTTTTAACTAGCTGTCAGTATCTGCGACAACTATAAAATATGTGCTTTGTGTCTTTTCTTACGGTTTTGATGTGTTTTGTATCGATCTGTTTAGTTAAGAAGTTTTCGACGACTGATTTTTATAGTTTGTTGGTAGTTTATGTCGTACTGTTACACCATTGTATCATGTTAGGGAAGAGTTTGCGCCAGAACACATGTTTGACCTCGTCACATTATGTATAAGCATGACCAAAGTCAGCTGCCTAGAATTCTGTGGTTGTCGCTTGTTGCTGTATATCATATTTGTTTTGCTTTCATTGTTTTGTACATAAATCAGGTCGCTAGTGTTCTCGTTTGAATTGTTTAACACTTGTATTGTTATTTCGGGGCCTTTAATAACCTACTATGCAGTATAGGTGTTGCTAATTGCTGAAGGCCGTACGATGACCCATTATGAGATTTGGACTCTGGTGAATAGTCGTCTCATTGGCAATCATATCACATCTCCTTTTTTTATAGAACACTTGAACAACTTCGTCTCGTGTCTGTGTTTGTACTTTGATTTTGGTTTTTTAGTGAATTTCAGTTATTTTACATGTTTTATTTAGCGGGTATACTACGGTTACGCTTTAGATTTTCAAACTAAAAAGAACAAGAAACGTATATTTTTCTTCCCTCGCGTGTATGATCTTATTGAAATAAATGTCGTCAAAATGAAGTAAATTTTGCCGCTAGTAGCATATAGAAATTTAAAAAATTCGGCATTGATATGTTGAGTTTAACTTATCAAAAAAGACGTTGTATTGTGTGCCTTGTCTGCTAGCTTAGGAGGCGTTGGTTCCAGCAATGTCTGCTAAGATAGCGACTTACCACTGAAATAATAGTTGTTTTTTAAGATTTTTAAGTCCTATACTGCTGAATCGATTGATTTTTAGAAAATGTACAAATCTTTAATAAGATTTGAATTCAAAGTTACCAAAATGACTTATCTAAAATACTGAAAGAATAAATTTTCCAAATATTCATGGAAATGCGTGGCTAAACTGATAGGGATATATTAATTATTGTACAGGTTATTCTCGCACAAACGTATCAACTCTCAAAAGCAGAAAAAAATCTTCAATTCTTTTACAAATGCATTTTGTTTGGACTTTAATAAATTTGAAATTCTCCCAACTTTAGAGTCCTTTTAACTTTTTGTGTCTGCAAATTTTACCCTTAATTACTCACAATAGACCAATTCTATTCTTCTAATACGGGTACTAATATTATTGGAACTATCTTCTTTTGTCCATTCTAGCGGAGAAGATATCACAAGAAAACGATCGATTTAAAATAATATAATGACTGATATAATGATATTTTTATCTTTCTTTTTTCCAAGAACAAAGTTATCTTTTAAACTGATGTCTTAACTAAACAGATCGTTTTTGCAGAGCTCAGTTGTTTAATGCTTTACATATAAGAAATTTAAAGAAATATACTTCTGAAAACCACATATTTGCTCGATTTTTGTAAAGTGATAATAAACCGGCTAGAGTTTCGTTTGCAATTTTTAAAAGATTAACTTTGATTTTTATTTTACAAATGATTGTTTTTCTACATATAATATAATTATCTCTATCATATAAAGCTCCACCAACTCTTTGGTGAAAAGTTATTATGTTTTTCTCGTTTTCTTCTGCAAAAGTTTGGACTTTCTACCTAATTCGAAATCAGGGAAATTGCTTTGCAATACAGTTTTAGGTCAAAAGTGTTTCCCCTATCATAATTTCCCCTATTATATCATTTAAAAACACATTTTCAATAAATATTGTAATGAAGATTTTCTTTAGCAAATTGAATGCATTTTTTTCCCATTAAATACAAAAATGTGTGCAGATTCTTGTATTAACTATGAAATATATTTATGTTTTCTAGTTTTAGGAAAATCAGTATTTAAGGATAAATATGAATTTCTACATGTAGGAAAACATTACGCTAAGGTTTTATATTTGTATATAAAATATAATTTCTCAGTAATGACATGTCATAAAAATTTCATAATAACCATAAGAAACTGTACACATTTATGAGTTTAATATTGAAGTTTTCAACAAAATCGGACCTCAAAAAAGTTTGTAAAAAAAATGTTTTTATGTGAAATAATAGAGAAATAGAGGAATTTTTTTATTATAGAAACACTTTTGACCTAAGAATGTAAACATGTGTTAAACTTGTTGCATACATTTTGTTTTTGTCAGTCCCCAAGCCAGTAGCCTGTTATTCATTAATTGTCATTTTTTGTTGTATATCATCTTTGTTTTTCGATTTTTGTTTTGTACAAAAACCAGGCCATTAGTTTTCTCGTTTGAATTGTTTTACATTTGTCATGTCGGAGCCTTTTATAATGTTCTATGCGATAAAGGATTTGCTCATTGTTGAAAGTTATCTCATTGGTAGTCACACCACATTTACTTATTTTCCAATTGTCAAAATGTTCTTCTTCCTGGGTGTGTGTAAGATTAAACAGATTTGTTTTGACTGCCGACATTGTCCCTGTGTCAGCTGACGACAGATGGCGTGTTATGTGTACTTATTTTAGGAACTGGAAGGTTTAAGGTTATTGTTTTCATATTTTCCATTTTCTTATAAACTGTCTAATCTTATAAATTTCTCCTTGCGGACGACATTTCATGAATCATAACAAAAGAACGTAAACGAAGACAATTATCTAAAAAAAAAAGTAGGGCAATAGAATGATCAAAAGATTTAAACATAAATGAAGGGTTTTCCCAATAAGGAAGTGTTCCTTACAATATAAAAGGTAGTGTACATTGACATTTATTAAACGTTAAAGCTACAATCATCATACAGAGACAAGTGAGTATTTTGAAAATAGTGCAACAAATTACACTATACTCTGTATATATACTTTATATTGCAATATAATATAAAATCAATCAAAGTTATTAAAAGGTATTAAATACTTTTTTCATGAAATCATAAATGGTAAACCTCTTAGAGTACTTGAGTTCAACCATTTTTGTTTTTGCTCAATAGTTAGTTTTCATGTTGTGATTTTAGGATTGTTGTTTATTTTTTATTATAACATGTTTTCAAAACTTGATAAATATTAAGGGAAGAAGTGATATTTACTGCACGACCAATACTATTAAGTGAGGGGTTATACATGCAATTATGCGTATATGGGATTTGAGTTATTTTTGTTGTTGCTAGCGTCATACATGGAATCACAATTTGCAATATTTGAAAGATGAGGACAGATCTCCTTCAAAGAATCAAATATTTGTTTTTCTATAATTTAGACACTTAAAACGTTTTATAATACATAGACCTTTTTAAACGCTTTATGATTATTGATTTTTACAGACCGCACCTATAATATAAATGTGTTTAAAGGTACATGTATAAACGTTATTCAAGTAATTAATTCAAATACGTACCACGAAAGATATCACTTTCTATCGATGAAGTTTTGTGTTTATACCTTGCCAATCATATATAATTAAAGTGTTAATTGTTCGCGACCAATTTAGAAGTTTTCCTTTTCATATTGTAAAATATATATTTAAACAGACATAGAATGCATTGAAAAGCTGTAATAACGCATTAAACCCTTAAAATAGGGTCAAAAACACAAAGTTCATTATCTAGGACGTGACCTTGAGCTTTGACCTTGTCACCGTTATCAGGCTCAGAGGTCCCCTATGTCATTAAAATTTGGTTGTAGAGTTACAGTTAATTCTGTCTTTTCGGAAGCCATCAACGAGGTTTTTGCTCCTTACGGAAAGGTCAAATATTGTCGGTCGAAATGTAACAAATTTAAGCCTTAATGACCTAAACATTTTCCACTATTCAAGACATCTGTAACATCACAAGGTATAAGGTCAAAGGTCAACTTATAAAAAATAAAAATTTGACTTCAAGGTATTTTTCAGGTCACTCAAATGATGAGCAAGGTAAAGACATAAGCAAGGTCCCCTCTTCTATTTTTTCTACCTATTACGGTTACAGTACATTGGTGAAGATCTTACATGTCTACGACTTACGCTGTATGAGTGATAGTCTGGGTAATACCTGTTTTAATTACAACTAAAATGTTCAAAATTTCCCTTCGTAACCATAATCGCTTTCGGGTTCACAATTTGAATCAGTGTAAGGAATACTATTTGGAACTCACCCTCTGAGTCGTAAATTTCTACCTATTACGGTTACAGTTGGCCAACCGACATCTGTTATTTTGTCAAAGGGTAATATCCTAGGAGTGTTTCAATCTTTTCAATCTAAAAGTAACAAAGTACCAGGGTATTGTTCTACAGTTACAGTTTTTGTCCGATAACAATGATGTTTAGTTTTGGGCATATAAATCTGGACTTCACACAAATGTGCAATTATGATTGATTGGTTGATTGATTGGTGTTTATCTATTGCTATGGAAAGTGCCTTTACCAAAGGATTTCTCACAAAAATAACTAAATAGCTAAAATAAGTATAATTATATCAATTAAAAAGCAATACAATAGATACAAGCACAATGACTATGTTGAACGGTTTTTCGGTCATTCAACCTTTCTTTGGAAAGACCTTATGTATTTGTTCTGAATATTAGTTTTTTCTTCTTCCGCCAAACCCTTTTCTTGCGGTGTGTAGTGGTTTCGCAAGATGTCGCTTAGATTTTTTCATATGATATCGAACAGTTATTCCACGTTTGAAATTCACATTGTTTAACCGAACTCATTTTATTGTCAGACTTATTTCTCCAAACACTGTTTTTCATGTGTGTGCATGTCCTTTGCAACCGTAAAAGAAATCAAATTTATTTTTCCAAATTTCACGTTAAATTCTAAAGATGCTTCGGTCAACTATTACAGAAGCACTGTGAAAATGACAAATATCTGCACCCCACAATTAATGAACGAGGCACATAATAAAATAAAGGTTGATAATCTATTGAATAAGCAATGAAATTCTAATAACAAATCAGTAAACAAATTTACAAGAAACAATCTGTTGATTATTTCAAGGGAGAAAACCCAGTATCAAAATTATTTCAGAAAATCAAAAACATGTTAATATTATTAAACCTATCTAGCCTTTGGTCCATTAAATATACAAAAATACCTTTATTATTTGCGAAAGAGTTTGTTATGCATTTTTAGCTAGTTTCAGTTAGTTTTAGTCATTACTTTCAAGAATTCCCCTTGAAACATGCCGAAATTAACTTTTTTCTCTATGAATCAATGCATTTAATAGAGAGGCGAAAGGTACCAGAAGAAAATTCCAACTCATAAGTAGAAAACAAACTGACAATGCCATGAAGAAACAAAAAAATACCCCCCCACCAAAAAAAAAACCCACAAAAAAACGAAGAACGGTGAAATATCGATTAGTAGATATATTGGCAATGGGAGTGTCACTTTTTCAAAAAACATTACACTCTATAAGTTGAGTCAATGTAAAATAGCAATTACAATATATATAGTACCATACATATTCATTTTCTATGAAGCAAACAGAGATAATCTAGTTAAAATCTTAAAAAGTATATATGTTTTTTATTTCAAATTTAGCATTTTGCAATATAAAACAAAATAATCAAAAGGGTAATAAGATAAATTTTAGACACAACATTGTGTTTCTTTCTATGATTCTGTATCAAACTGGTTAACATTTTGCTGCATAAATGTAATCCAAATTCTTAAAATTCGGAGGAACAGATAGACGAACGAAAAACATGTATGTCCCAACAGATGTATATTAAGTGTCAAGGAGACAACATTTTATCTCAAAAGTGAACTTACTTAAAAATTTTCCTTAAAGGTCGCCACACGATTTTCAACAAACTGAGAAACCCCACGGTTAGCCCTTAATGATCCAGACTTCGATATAACCTTATAGTCGCATTTATAAAGTTGTATTTTTATTTTTATAGAATTTTCAGTTACATTATAATTCAAATTTGCTTTAATTTGCTTTAACAAATCTGACATATAAGACGGTCATCATGAACGCAATAATATTAAGTTCTGCATTCACAGTATATTAACATGTCTGCTGAATGTCAGAGTTCTGCCTAATTTTCTATAAATTAAAACTAAATATATCGTTTTAGTGAACTAACACTAATATCTCCTCTTTATCTGTAGAAGTTACACTATAATAAAGGTCCAACAAGCACCTGTACTCAAGAGGTTTTGTCATTGTAAATAAGAATACACAGTTGTATGGTTAGGGCGTCGGAATCTGAACCGTTTTCAATATATATCACGATTGACACTACGAGGGCTGGGACATGACATATACTTTCAAAAATTAAAAAGGTTGAGCATATTTCCAATTTTCAGAATCAAATTATGAATCTGGGATTTTTAATCCAACATCTGAAGTTTTGTTTAAATATACCCATTCAACGGATTAAAAGGTCATACAATGACAATAAAAAAAATCAGTAAAACTATGTTCAATCTTTTTTGAATTGTAGTGCTTTCTAATGGTTTAGTGGTATTGTGTCATTTACATTTTTGTAATATTTACATTCCACGAATGCCTTACTTCAGCTGCCTAAAAATGCAAATATAATTGGTATCTTACGGTGTTTTTTTAACTTCGGTTATATGTAAAAAAAAAAAGCCCAAAATGTACCTTCGATTTTGTAATAGACTTAAATCATACCACATATTTCTTTTTTTCATATTAAATGGTTAACGAATGCACATTTGCACGCAGTATTTAGAAGGCAAACTCATAAAATAATAAATTACTTTTACAAATTTCAATTCTAGATTATTTAAATCCTACAAAGAAGAACACTTTCAAAAGATGTCAGGTAATTGTCAATACATTTGCTATTTGATAATATATGGGTGAGATCTACCGCATTCTGAACTCCTAAATATATACAAGTCTACATTGAAAACAACGGTCAAACCTATGATTGCGTTGGATAAAAACATCAATTTTTATACGTGTGCATGCAACAATTTCTTGTTAGAGGGGTCTAAATACAGCAAAAACAACATTTTCCAAAAGACCGAAAAAGTGAAAAGGTACATTTTAACAAAACGCATTTGACTAACAGGTCGAACAACAAATGTTCTTAAACCCTGCTGACAGCCATTGGCGATTGCCAATAAACGGATCACCAATGTAATAAATGGATCTTAATTATAAATTTGATACTAAACAGAAAACAATAAACTTGCGGAAAAGATGGTATACCGCAAACAAAAGGTGCAAAGGTTTTTGTACACCATATCCGGATTTCGACAATTAATGTCTCTTCAGTGATGTTAGGAATCTAAACTGTATTTGGAGAGCCATACAATTTACCTCAATTTAGGATAGACTCTTGAATTTTGAGGAGTCAAAATAGGATGAACGGATCATATAAACCCGAAGGCAAATATAATACAAGCCCAAACGAAAAAATATAAACAAGTCTCAATTGAAAACAACGGTCAAACCTATGATTGCGTTGGATAAATACCGCAATTTTTATACGTGTGCATACAAAAATTTCTTGTTAGAGGGGTCTAAATACAGCAAAAAACAACATTTTCCAAAAGACCAAAAAAAAAGTGAAAAAAGTATATTTTAACAAAATGCATTTGACTAACAGGTCGAACAACAAATGTTCTTAAACCCTGCTGAATGCTATTGGCGATTGCCAAATAAATGGATCACCGATGTAATAAATGGATCTTAATTATCAATTTGATACTAAACCGAAAACAATAAACTTGCGGAAAAGATGGTATACCGCAAACAAAAGGTGCAAAGGTTTTTGTACACCATATCCGGATTTCGACAATTAATGTCTCTCCAGTGATGTTAGGAGTCGAAACGGTATTTGGAAAGCCATACAATTTACCTCAACTTAGGATAGACTCTTGAATTTTGAGGAGTCAAAGTCAGAATCTTGTTTTTATATATATATATCTTACTTATAGGTCGAAAAAAAAAAATGACAACGCCATGGCAAAAAAAAAAGAAAAGAAAAAGACCTAAAGACAAACAAGAGTACACAAAACACATAATAGAAACTAACGACTGAGCAACACAAACCCTTGCAAAAACTTTTTTCAATACACTTTATATATTAAAATGTATTATGTATTTTTTTTGTGACATTCAGATGTGGTTGAGGGTTTCATATAAAACCCCGTTTACCAGCATGTCGATTCAGTGTGTACCGAAATTCTACCATGAACTGTTTGGTGATGGTTTGCCTGTTATTGACTTGAATATTTTGTCAGAACGTTTACAAAGTATATTATTATAACAACCTTAATGATGTCAGATTGTTGCACGAGTTGCTCATTTCAGGTGTATCTCTTTTCTTCGCAAGAAAGTTTTCTAAAATATTCATCAAGACCTTTACATATTTCAACTACACTGTAATTGATTTCTAACGAACTAGCGTAAGTCAAACCCACAATGCTGTCCACATTTGTGTTCCTTTCCCAAAAAAAGGATTAAAACCAATTAAATTGTTCAAAAATAATAGCAGTAACACAAACATTTCTAAAGGCAGAAGTTAAACAAATCTCGTATAAATAACGGTGCAATCAAATATATTTCAAGAAAAATAACACACAGACTTACAATTTTCTCATGTAACAACTCAAGATCAAGATATTTGCAGCTTAAACATATTTTTTTATAATTTCATTAAAATTTAGGAACTAGATAATGTTATAAAATGGGAATCTTGTTTATTGTTATCTTACGTTCTGAAATACCGCATTGATCAAAAACCAAATACACCGATCGCGAACTTGAAACCATTAAAATGCCGGTCTTCTTGATCGAAAAAAATATGTTAAATAAACAAATCAGTTTCAAAAGATAACGAATAACAATCTTGCAAAATTTTCACTTTAAGATAAACTGATGATGTCCTGTCACGCAATAACTAACCTTTCAGTGAGTGCTTTAGATTAAGGATACTATCTAAACTAGGACGTGTACTTCTTATCTTTATATTGTCTTCGATTCTGACACAGATGGACGACTTCAAACTAGAATCAACGTTAAACGAGATGATTACAATTACCTATTTCTTAAATGAAGGTCAGAATCAAAAAAGGGACACCCTTACTTACCTCAGTATTATTGTATAGGAAGAAAACATTTCATTAAATTTTGTCCATGGTTCTTGCAATTGCTTGACACTTAAAAGGTGTCGAGGTACGAGTTTTTCAATTTAACAAATCTACGAAATCGTTCAAATTGAAGTAAAGGTTTAATTCGATAAAATTAGAAAGATTTTACAATTAAGATTCTATTTATTAAAAATCGGTTAAAAACTAAAATAATTCAAGTGTGTTTGTACTACATGTATAGTATATCAATATAAGGTCATACAAGGTCCTGAGCGTGTCTCGTCCGTTCTTGTATCAAGGGTTAAAACATTACAGCACATCGTTGTTATAGAATCATGCATTTGAAATCTTACGTTCTTATATTATATATATATAACTAACAATAAAAAATCCAAAGACTTGAATGTACACAATTCCTTTTTACAACACATATTTTACGTTTGTTTATTACTCAGGAACATTAATTAAAAAACAAGAAAAAAACCTAACACCCTACCCTCTTTCTGTAAAGACATTCATTTATATTAAAGATATACTTTAAGGCTTTTTTTTAGCTTGTTGATTCAACGGTTTGCAAGTTTGTGAATGATAAAAATACATCGAGTACACTTTGAATAGCAGTTTATGATAAGGCCGGAAAGGAGAGATGGAAATTCAGATATATGAAAAGTGATAAAGGAAAAACAAATCTTCGGATTTAATATGAAAAAAAAACAAACTAGTTTTTAAGAAAAGAATGTAGTACAAATAATCTGATGTGAGGCACATAGAAATAAAAGGTGCCCTTGAAACATACTTCGTTTCCTGGTTCAATAAGCTCATCATAGATACAAAGATTAAGATTTTGTACGCCAGTCGCGTCTTTTTTCTGCAACGACTCACCAGTGACGCTCGAATCAAAAAGGTTAAATGGGCCTTCAAATGTTATAGATCATAAACGTAAAATTTCTAAACTAACGACACTTCCTGTACAAATGTTGAAATGTTAAACAGTGCATACAAAAAATATCGCATACCATCTAGTTCATATTTTTATCCCTTATAACAAAACTCTTAGTAAACACGTTGTTGAACGGTAATTTATTACATTTGCAATGCATTTGTCATGTAATTTATAACATGTCCATACCAATGTTATTCAAATTTGATTAAAAACATCAGTATGCAATTGAAATGTATTAAATTACTTTGGCATGAACTCAATCCCAGCACTGATGTATAAAGAAGATGTCGTTAATATCAAGAACAGCTATGCTGCAAAAATATCAATAAAGTGCAATTATCGATCAAAATTCTTTGTCGAACTCAAAGGAGTGATCACACAATAAGCTTCCCTTATGGATTATTAGGTCTTCACACTTTTCCACGGAAACTCTTGCTTTTGTTCTGATTATTTTATTTTCCCCCGCTTAATTATTTTCTGGCGTTGTTTTGGTGTTTCAAAAGATGTCGCATATTTCTGGTATATGATATTGATCATTTTATACGCTTATTAAACTGACCCTGCTTAACTGAACACTTTACCTTGTGAGAGTTATCACCAAACACTGTTTTTCTTGTGCGCACTTCTTCACAACCGTAAAAGATTACTACAAAATTATTATGGCTCGTTATATCCTCAGTTTGCCGAGAATAATTTGTATCAAAAAGATCTGAAGATTTCATATGAAAGTTATTTTCCTTGATGTATTTGACACGTGAAATGTAATAGTAACTCATAAATCTTATGTGATAGAGACCTAGGATCTTTTAATTTAAGGTCATGGTTCTACCAAAAATAAAATGAGATCAAGGTCAAAGGTCAAGGTCATGTTTTGATTTTTTGCTTTTGCATGTGCATGGTACTTATAAGAAACTGTAATTATATCGACAAAAGATTTTCACTTAAGTGTTAGTTGCGATCTGTCGTAATATGGCATTTTTCTTCAAAGCTGTGTGGTAACATTTATTAGGAGTTTTCTCCCCTGGAATGTTTAAAATAAGATGAATGGTGATAAAACTTATAAACAATGCAAAGTAGAGACCAAAAGCCTTTTGAAATGAGCTCCTCGTTTGATGATCTTGAAATGGAGGTCAATTTAAAAGGTTATTTTGACATTCTAGATTTTGACCTTAGCTTTAACTTCATATTTATACATCATAAAGCCATAGAACTTTGTGTATTAGGTTGCAAGCCATATGACCTTGAAAAACAAACCGGAAGAGTCCCAGTATAAACCAGAAGAAGCTATTTTTTGTACTTATTTAATGTAAAAGTATATATAACCATATATTTTGGGAATCAGTGTCAAGTAAACTATTACATTATACCTTAAGTGTCATTTTTCAAACCGGACGTAACAGATTATCTCCCTTAATTCAAAGAAAAGTGTATAGAAACCATATATTTTTTGGAATCAGCATACAGTAAGCCATCATCTGACAGTGAAAATGCATTTTAAACCAGATTGTTACATTTTCTTAATACAATATATCGTTTCCGGTAGAAAGACTTCCAATAGTCTCTGAACAATTGGTTTTAAATATCATATCAATTTGATTCAATTAAACAACCAAATGAGTGCTAGTATCTCCACTTAACTGACTATACATTCATTTTAAGAATGTAAAATCTTTTACAAAGACATTTTCTTAAATAAAAATCTGGATTCAACTATTAATTTGACAATCTGAACGAATGAAATTATAAAAAGATAGCAGGAATAATGTAAGATTAATTCAAACATTTATCATACTTTCTGTTTCGTTGATTTTTGTTATAAGTTTGGCAACCTGGTCATGCTGGTTAAATGTTATCTAATTACAATTACACGCACAATTTTTGATTTTTATTTAAACTCCTCTGGTAGACGCTTAAGGTAAAAAAACACGTCAGACACCAAAATGGCTATATATATATATATATATATATATATTCCGCAAGTCTATTGTTTTCTGTTTGGTATTAAATTAATAAAAAAGATCCATTTTGTTACATCTTGTGATCCGTTTATTTGGCAACCGCCAATGGCAGTCAGCAGGGTTTAAGAACATCAGTTGTTCGACCTGCTAGTCAAATGCGTTTTGTTAAAATATACTTTTTCACTTTTTTTGGTCTTTTGGAAAATGTTGTTTGTGCTGTATTTAGACCCCTCTACCAAGAAATTTGTTTTGCATTCACACGTATAAAAATTGCGGTTTTTATCCAACGCAATCATAGGTTTGAACGTTGTTTTCAATTTAGATTTATTTATATTTTTTGTTTGGGCTTGTATTATATTTGCCTTCGGGTTTATATGATCCGTTCATCCTATTTCGACTCTTCAAAATTCAAGTCAATAAGAGGCAAACCATCACCAAACAGTTCATGAAAGAATTTTGGTACACAATGAACCGACATGCTGGTATACGGGGTTTTATATGAAACCCTCAACCACATCTGAATGTCACAAAAAAAATATATAATAACTTTTAATATATAAAGTGTATTGAAAAAAGTTTTTGCAAGGGTTTGTGTAGCTCAGTCGTTAGTTTCTATTATGTGTTTTGTGTACTCTTCTTTATCTTTAGGTCTTTTTCTTTTCTTTTTTTATTGCCATGGCGTTGTCATTTTTTTTTCGACTTATAAGTTAGATATTTATATATAAACAAGATTTTGACTATGACTCCTCAAAATTCAAGAGTCTATCCTAAATTGAGGAAAATTATATGGCTTTCCAAATACCGTTTCGATTCCTAACATCACTGAAGAGCCATTAATTGTCGAAATCCGGATAAGGTGTCCAAATTTTTGCACCTCATGTTTGCGGTATACCATCTTTTCCGCAAGTTTATTGTTTTCGGTTTGGTATTAAATTAATAATAAAGATCCATTTTGTTACATTTTGTGATCCGTTCATTTGGCAAACCGCCAATGGCAATCAGCAGGGTTTAAGAACATCCGTTGTTCGACATGTTAGTCAAATGCGTTTTGTTTAAATACACTTTTTCACTTTTTTGGTTTTTTGGAAAGTGTTGTTTGTGCTGTATTTTGACCCATCTGCAAAGAAATTTGTTTTGCATGCACACGTATAAAATTGCGGTTTTTATCCAACGCAATCATAGGTTTGAACGTTGTTTTCAATTAAGACTAGGCTACAAAAAATATTGCTTTTGGTGGTCGATGCAATACCTTTTCTCGTTGGCTTCATCTACGGTTGTTACACATTACATGATGTATAAAGGCAAGTAGATGGTGTACCTTTCAGATCAGCTATTTTGTATGTCGTAAATGATGATAATGTTAATTACAATGCAACCACATCAAATTTTAATTTTATTGTATACGTCTAACCATTTTACAACTTTATGCCAGACATCATTCATCGGATAGCGAGTGGTTATACAGGGATAACACCAGGCGGTGTTACCATGATGTCACAGAAACAAGGGTTTGAATCCCGCTGAGGCAACAACAAAAATTTGCTCACGCAAATTTGAAGATCTAACATTGTTTTGCTTAATTTGAGACGAATTATGTATAAATTATGGTGTTAGCAAGGAAAAAGATGTAACAAAAAATAGCGAAACTCAATTCAAATAGGTGAAGTCCATAAACACTGACATTATCAAACGCTATCAACCAACTCAACAAATGAAAAATAACTGCCATATTCCTGATTTGGTACAGGTAATTTTCCAAGGAAAATTGTGGGATAACCTGGTTTGATTGCTAGCTCAGGTAGAAAGTCAAGTTAATTACCAAATTTGAGGGCTTAAGAAGCCGAAAATTTCAAAACAGTTGTGACAAATATGACTATTCATTACAACTTTTCCTGGGGGTCGAGTAACTATACTGTTTAGGATAATTCAACATTTTATAGCATTAGAATTTACGAAAATAATCAAATCAATGATATTTAATGTCAACACAAAGATGCTGACTACTGGACTGGTGATACCCTCGGGGACGAAACGTCCATCTTGTGGTTGTAAAACGCACCAAAAGTGCAGAATTTGATAGGCATAAACATGTTAAAGTGATGAAAGTTATAAAATCAAAATAAGAAAATAAAGATGTACCGTTAAAACATACACTAGCCGAGTTGCAATCTCTGTTGATTTGAAAAGCTGTTACTGTTTGCAGGGTACTTGGTTTTAGATATCGTAATGAAGAATGTTAAACACAAAGATTTAACCTTACCTTTTTCTTTTTAGTCATGGCGTTGTCAGTTTATTTTCGACTTATGAGTTTGAATGTCTCTCTGGTATCTTTCGCCTCTCTTTTAAATCTGCTCACAATGTGCATAATGGCATGCAATCATGTTAATTGCTGACAAATTTCATAATAAACAAAAAGTAAATAATGCTTCTGATATTCGCCTTTGAACAAGTGATATCAAATCAACAGTTGGTTTTTTCCCGATGGATATGATATATTGTCTAGAATATTTTTTTCCAATTTCAGTTTAACGAAAAGCACTGTGATATAATCTCTGCCCTAAACAATTAAAAGAAGTCTGTTTTCTTTTTTAAATTAAATTTGATGACGTTGGAACATATTACTAAATTGAAACACAATAATTCCTGATATTAGCTTACCATCCGTTTGTGTGAAAGAGAGGAGAATGATACGAAAGGGACATTCAAATTAATGAGTCGAAAATAAACTGACAAAGCCAAGGTTAAATAAGAGAAAGACAAACAGACAAACAACAGTACACAAAACACAAAACACAACATAGAAAACCAAAGACTGAGCAACACGAACCCAACCAAAAACTGGGAGTGATCTCAGGTGTCCCGGATGGTCAAGAAGATGCTGCTTGACATGTGGCACGTGTTGTGTTGGTCATTTTAGTACAATCCCGGTAATAAGTCTAATTCAGTATACGCATTCGGGGAAAAGGGTACGGGATTGTAGTTACGACAATTGGAACATATCCGTTGTCATCTGTGAAACGGATATTCCATATCGATCAACCAACTCGTGATTGCGTCCGTAAAAATTACGAAGGGACGATTTCAAGTTCACAACTTGGAATTCTTGGTTTAATAGTTTCCTTGTGAGCAGCAACCCTCTATCAAGAAATGTGTGACCTTTGCCTTTTTGATCAGATGACTACCAAATAAATATGTATTTTCCTTAAAATGCATACAATCGAACTAATTGTTGAAATTGTATAGTTATCAACATAAACTATCTATAACCCAAATATTTGTCCAGATTTTATTATTTTATTTGCGGCTTCAATTTTGACCTGAAAATATGAGAATTTTTTTCTTTTTTCATTAGTTATTTGTTCTTGCCTTGAATACTAAACTCACCCGAAATGTCCCCATAATTTCAGTCTACTTATAAGCTTTGATACCTACTGACCAAAAGAAGAAAAACGATATGGGTCTTGTACTTTTACCTGGATATTTTCAATCTAAGAAGATTCAATTATTGTTCGAATGATATTAGTTGGAAACGACAATGTTGCCCAATTTAGATATTTTAATTGTTGGTTTAAATATCAATCTTTGACATCGTAATCAGAAAGGAAAATATTATTCTAGGCAAACCGTGACAATATCGAACCGATTTTAATGAAAAATTAATTGGTGTTCAAAACTCAGTTTGAGTGAGATCAACTATTACTAACATTTTAGAAAGGAAATGTTAAAACTTCGCCTTTTAATTACTTCAAGTCTATAGATATGAATTATACTTAACACTTATTTATAGAAAATCTGTTTTAGTTGATGATAACCTATTCAATTATCGTCATGCCAAAAACATGACACAAGAAGAATATCCTTAGATGAAAATATAATTATTTTTAACAATTCATTTTTTGATACTTTCATTCGTTCGAATTTCAAATTAAAAATATAGAAAGATCATGTCGTTTATTGATAGTTATCTCATTGGTAATTAAATCATATTTCCTTTTTGTTATACAAATGTTAATCGTGCATTGGAGAACAGAGAGAACAGTCAAAATAAAACATAAAACTTTCTTGTATTGAGAACGTAAAAAGTTAACTCATCATACTCATTTGTAAATAATCATGAAGTCTGCGTACTTTTTATGTGTGTCGCCCCTTGATCAGCATTAGTTTTGTCCTAATAATTGTTGGCTATATTAATGAATATACTGTACAACCCTTTTTCAATCTAGCTAAAGGCCACCATTACATAAACTGAGTGTAGTGTAAATATCAATAACTGAATAAATATTTGATTGGACCAGACTATCCCTAATTAAACAAAACATTTTTTTCTTCTCCGAACATCATATTTCCTCACTGAACTTTGAATCTACGTTGCATTTTGTTTTTGCAGTTTAATTTGTGTTTTAATAGAATAATATCTTACACAGCATAATTAATGTGTCAAAATCAAGTTAATGTATATTAAAGAAGTATAATTAAAAACATAGTAGTTTTCAAATTGTGTCTCTCATCTTATTCATATACGTTTGCCATCGTTATCTGTTTACACTGATATAATACGCTTTATCTTTTTTTTTGTAGATGAAAATTGGAACAGTATTAAAGATGCAACAGACACCACAAAATATAAGCATACGGATAAACATGACCACAGGAAATTCGTGCAAGTAGGCACAAGTAAATATTATTTGTCGAGGGATTTGGCGGGTCATGGTCACTCATGGTGCAAGCTCTTTTTTAGAAAAAGGCAGTTCTTTAAATTTTGTTGGATCTGTAACCAAAAATATTTTTAAAGATGTTGCTAAGTTATACCCAAGGAGCTTAAAAGATGCACATTTTAAGCCAGTCTATGAGGATTTTCAAATTATTTCAAAACATGAATCAAAGGAAGGACAAGTTATAGACAAGAAACGTCTAATCAAATGTAAATAACTCTGTTTGCCACAAGAGAGTTGCTGTATTTACATGAAGTTTAAATTATTTTTAGCGGAAGCACTTCTTGCGTAAAAATCCTATAATATATACCTTGATTTTATGTTGCTAAAATATGTAAATATTTACATTACAGATAAATCAATATAGCATTGAGTAAATATGTTAATCTTAAAATGAATTGTAATAAAGAATTTTAAGTGTTGATATTTTATTTGTTCGTTTTTATTGTGTACTTGATAGTGACGACTGCTTCAAGGTCGTAACCAATTTTTGTACGATATAAAACTTCATCATGTAGTAAACGTTTTAATGCGCTTCTGGCGAACCAAATTATAGGCTCGGTATCTTTGATGAGCCTTTAACTGTATAGAAACAACGACGTTTTGTAAATATTAAATGTCAAAGTCCTATCTTATCTTTAAATCTCTCTATTTTGACCTTTACAATAAAATTAATAATTCTATTCTATAACTCTATAACAAAACTGAAAATAGAAACGGGGAATGCGTCAAAGAGACAACAACCTGACCAAAGAGCAGAAAACAGTCCAAGGTCACCAATGGGTCTTCCATCCCGCACCCGGAGATGGGCGTCAGCTGGTCCATAAACAATGATGTATACTAGTTCAGCGAAAATGGACGTCTCACAAAACTCCGAAACATATAAATGAACCAAAATTAAATAAACATACAAGACTAACAACGACCAGAGGTTCCTGAATTGGGACAGGCGCAAAAATGTGAAGGGGTTTAATATATTTTGTAAGATCTCAATCCTCCCCTATATCTCTTGCCAATGTAGAATAAATAAACACACAGCAAATAATACGCACAGTAAAATTCAATCCCAAAGAAGCCTGAGTCCGATGTTAGAATTGGTAACAGAAGAAACTCAGCAAAATGACAATAATACATAATTTAACAAAGGACTATTAGCAGTTAATGACATGCCAGCTCCAGACCTCAATAAAACTGATTGAAAGGTATTAATGTCTTCGTTATATGAAAATTTAGCACAATCCCTCCCGTTAGGGGTCTATTATCACACCATCATAACAACTCAGATATAAGACCATAACCGGTATCATGCAAACAACTGGTTTTATAATAAATGTGTTTATTTCAGATGTATTGAACCTACGAGTGTATCAATATTAATTCTCAAAAATGTATTCTTTATTGACCTGGCAACAGTATCGTAACTATATACCTTCTGTATAAGTCTGTTTAAAGATTTTGTTAGATTTTGAGGTGAACGACGACGTTTTTTTGTGCATCGTATAGAACATTACCATAAACGATGTATTAAGCTTTTCGTTAAAGATATAGAAATCAAGACCCAGGAAAGAGCAGAGTTCATTGTAGGTATTAACTTTATTTAAAGTCAGTTCAGCAGGATAAATCTCTTTAATGCACATTGTGAAGTCGTTATTATTAAGAGCCAATAAATCATCCAAATATCTAAAAGTATTATTGATTTTTTGTATCAGATGTTGTTTCTATTGATCATAAATTGTAACCCGTAACAATACAGTAACAGGTCCATATTAAGAACTTTTAATTACTGATAATGACGATTTAAAACATTTTTTTTTATATGTTATTACAAGATTTATAATTTAGACGAACGAGCTTGCTTGTGATTTTGCGACTAATTTTCTGCGATTAAGAATTCACTTTGCATGTAAAGAGATATTGGTCTCGACTTCGACAGTTATAGGCTTACTAAAAATTAATCATGGTTTTTGTTTGTTTCAAACATGTGAAATAACGGAATACTGAAAATCAATTCGTATATTTTTTTCTATAAATTATGGCTAAAAAACGAAAAACGATCAAAAGATAAAAAAAAGATCTGAGGTGCTAAGAGTAAGCAGATTCTACTCTACAATTTAAACTATGCTGATGCATCATTGATTAAATGCTTACGATGGTAGCGCAGGTGCTCAGTACTTCAGTAATTAAAAAGAATGTCACCTGCAAAAGTGAAACGGGAAGATCAGTACGTTGACTAATTTTTATACAGTACAGGTTATATGTCAAAAAAGTTGATGCATGTTTTGTTTATCTAGGATACGAAAGAAAACAAAAAAATCGTCATTGCATTATTGCAGCTGCTCTTAATATTTATGTGTTATATGTTTATATTTACGTTGTTTTCAAGGTAACAAGCCTATCGAAAAACCACATAGGTCATTGCGACGGCTATAAGTTAACGTCAGTCTTAGAATGCAAACGATATTTCAATACTTTCGTGCATTTTGTTTTATGGAACTTTGGTCATTCTGATACTAGTATACGTTTTCGTTATTACAAGTTGAAAGTTTCAGCCAATTTAGTGGAGTTAACGTATGCAGTTAATGCCCTTTAAATGAGTGTGACCTCCATGACAAATATGTTGTTGTTCCCGCAGATAAAGCCCCTAACAACATCGTTTTTGTGTGTAAATATCATTATATAAACTGATTGATCAATGAATTAGGTATTGACAATTCATTTGGAAACTCAACATATACCCTCACGACACTTACAAAAGAGGAAATCATGGATAGTCATACGTCTGTTCTATGTTCCTTTGGAATTTCAACCAAAGATAAAGAACTGGATCTTCCATCACTGTATTGGATACCTAAACTACATAAGTGTCCTTACAAACAACGGTATATTGCTGGGTCTTCCAAGTGCTCCACGAAACCTCTTTCTAAATTATTAACATCTATTTTATCAGCAATCAAAGCCGGGCTCCAAAGTTATTGTGAAACTGCCTATTCTAGAGGTGGCGTGAATCAGATGTGGAACAAAACAAAATTCCAAAGATCTTTTAGAGTACATACAATCTAAGACTCTCTCATCTTGCAATAGTATTAAAACATTTGACTTTACAAAAGTATTCCCCATTCCTAACTAAAAAGACAAATTGAGTGAGTTTGTATTACTTTGTTTCATTAAAAAGAATAGGAAACGTAGACACAAGTATCTTGTCTTGGGGAGGGATAAATCCTACTTTGTAAAGATCACTCTGATTCAAACAAAAAATTCTTTGAAACTGACATCATCAAGATGCTTGATTTCTTGATTGACAACATATTTGTTACGTTTGGAGGACGCGTTTTTCAACAGACTGTCGGAACCAATTGTGCCCCTATTTTTGATGACTTGTTTCTTTATTATTATGAGGCTGACTTCATACAGGAACTTCTTAGGAAGAAAGATACAAAGTTAGCAATATCCTTTAACTTTACGTTCCGCTATATAGATGATATTCTCTCTATAAATAATACAAAATGTAGTGACTATGTTGAACGAATCTATCCCATCGAACTACAGATAAAGGATACTACAGATACAGTTAAGTCTGCCTCATATCTTGACTTACATCTAGAAATTGGTAATGAGGGTCGGTTGAAAACAAAACTTTACCACAAAAGAGATGATTTCAGCTTCCCAATTGTGAACTTTCCATTTCTATGTAGCAACATTCCAGCAGCGCCTGCATACGGAGTATATATCTCTCAATTGATACGATATTCCCGGGCTTTTATTTCCTAACATGATTTCCTTGATAGAGGATTGCTGCTTACAAGGAAACTATTAAACCAAGAGTTCCAAATGGTGTAGTTGAAATTATCCCTTCGTAAATTTTACGGACGCCATCACGAGTTGGTTGACTATTATGGAATAACCGTTTCACAGATGATATCGGATATGTTCCTTATGTCGTAACTACAATACCCTTCCCTTTTCACGAATGTGACCTACCGAATTAGACTATTTACCGGATTTGTAATAACATAAGCAACACGACAGGTGCCACATGTGGAGCAGGATCTGCTTACCCTTCCGGAGCACCTGAGATCACCCCCAGTTTTTGGTGGGGTTCGTGTTGCTTAGTCTTTAGTTTTCTATGTTGTGTCATCTGTACTATTATGTGTCTGTTTGTCTTTTAATTTTGGCCATGGCGTTGTCAGTTTGTCTTCGATCTATGAGTTTGACTGGCCCTCTGGTATCTTTCGTCCCTCTTCAATATACTACTAAAGAGAGCATTCGGTTTCGACACATGTTTGCTGTACTCGACGTAGATTAACTGCATGTGCTTCTGATCGAAAGATATAGACATACTGTTTGCCTGGAAATTCTCAGAACCAATTCTGTTTTAGAGTATAGTTTACTTACATCTTGTTCTTCATGTAAATGAAGCATAAGAATCGTAATACAGATAAAAAAAAGTGATTTTTTTTCGTTGACGAATTATCAATCTTTGAATTAAAAAGCTCATACCTTAAATCAATTGAAGCAAAGTTGATCGCATAGGTTTATGGTTATGTTTAATTCTTCTTCATCGGAATTCACATATTCACTTGCATTGTAAATGTTTCTTAAATAAAAGTACTAGTATGAGTTTCATAGAAATAATGCTTTGGACATATAACATCTGATACACAGTTTAGAGATATTTATCGATTTATAATCGAAAATTGAATTAAAATAGAAGAAACAATTACAATGGATAAAAGTCTGAGTGTGTTTACGAAGAGAAAGATGTTGAAAATATCTAATTTTTGGACAGTTATGTAACAAAACTACATACAAATAAGTTATGAAAATCAGTTGGAAAATGACTTGACTCATTAGATTTGTACAACGCACACAATTACTCACGCAAAGATAGATGACCCAAGATACATATCAAGAATACTCCTAGCTACTGGAAGCTAGTTCAAAGACAATATCAACTAACACATTTATCATGCTCGTCTAGACTAACGTAAACAAAATTTAAGTGGTCGCTCAACGGTTGTAAGACACCACAGACTGTTTGAGAAAAACGTGACAATTTCCCAGTATTTTCATTTGAAAGCTCGTTGTAAAATAATGGTATTATTAATCAAAATTAAATGTACGATGTCAATTTCTAAGCAAATTATATGATCGTGTTATATGGGTTTTTGCAATAGTATCATAACGTTAACATGTCTTCGGATTTACGTATGGTCATGACACGGGAGATACATTTAGTGAATCCACTTGTGTAGAAATTACTTTCTAAATTAAAGTGTCGTCTGTAAAGGTACTATAGATGGCCTGTCTTCCGCCTTCTTGAACTGTTTATTAGCAGAAAATAATTGGACTAGATATTATAAGAAATGTTCAAATTTTTAGTGAGGAATGTAATACATTTGTAACAATGTTCATCTTAATGAAGAAAATTTTG